GGCTTAAACATTTATTTCTTCAAATAATATTTATTATTATTACTATAAGAAAGTGCTTTAACAATACGTTTTTAATGCCGAATAACACAGTAAACTAGAAAAAAAATGTGCATCCATTATTCTAATCTTCTTCTTCTTCAGAGAGCAGCTGGCTAAGCTGAGATGCTGTGATAATGATCATTAGCGGCCACTACATCCTGTGTTAGTTGCTTTTTTTTTCTTTTTTTTAGAATAAACGTTCAAAACGCAATATAAAAATTATGTGTACATACGAACACGAAGAGTGCAAAGATTAGAAACGTTAAAACAAACCTTTCAACAATATGACTATATGATTATATTATATCATTATAATTTTGATTTAAGTATTTAGATATACTAACACTTGTCGTTATTCTGGTATATATATGTTTTAACTAAATTAAGAATGTCATTTATTTATATTACGATAATGTCGTTATCGCTGCGTTTTTTTCCATTTTTTATTTTATAATTCGGCATATCCCTTCAAATATCGATCGCTTGCTCCCGCTGACTAATTCACTTGTTCTTAATTACTTATATCCGGATCAAACATGCAACTTCACTGGGGCAGAAGTTAATTTTTGCCAAATGTTTTCCCTTCAGGTATACCGATATTGAATTTTAAAGTTTACTTTGCTTTTAATTCGTTATGTTTTTGGAATATATCAACCTTAATTTATATAATTGATATTTATAAAAAGAAATTACGATAAGCAGCGTGAAACTTCTTATTAAAGAAAGATCTTTGGAAAACGGAAATATTATAGACCTCCTGGCTAAGATTAACTTTTGAATCATTCCAAGATGTGTGGTTTATGGTATACCATCAAACTGATATTTGAGAATAACTCAGAAAATAGTTCGTTTCAATAAAATTTATTTTACCAAAATAAATTCAAGAAATGAAAATGAGATATTATTTGAATATCTAATTATTTTCTACTTTCTTGAAATTGATTAATTCTTAATCTAGAATCTTCACTCACTTTTAGGTGTCGCTAAAGAATGTGCAGACGACGAACAGGAAGAAGTTTGAAAAAGAGAAACATTAGGAAATATCAAACATATTGCTATGCTTATTTGTATGTATTGGTATTAAAATTTTTGCTATTGTTGCATACACATACACATTCCCTGTGCCTGTATGCCGTACATAATGTTAACAACTGCATACTCTATAAATTTGCTTTGCTAATGACGTTTTAGTAGCCAGCCGGTAGTTCGATTATGTAGAAGTTTGCATAAATTTATGTAAGTAAACCATAGTACAATAATTTAAATATCGTTTCATTCTCTCTTCATACTCGGTTTCAAAGCTATCTGAAATTAAATGTGATTGCTATTTGTGGTGCTACCAAAAAAAATCTATATTTTTTACATTGAAAAAATATGCAGAGTCGTAAAAAAAAATATTTTAAAACAAAATAGATTTCAAAAAAAAAAACAACGATAAGGCTACCACTGAATTTATTAAACATTCCCCAAAAAACTCCATCCACACGTTGTTGCGGCTTAATGTATTTTGTTCAATTCAGATTTTATTGTCTACCACCCGAGTTACATATACAAATACGTATATTAAAAATGATAAAATTGATGAATTCATCGAAAAGATAAAAAGCACAAAATAAAACTAAAATAAAATTAAACTGTAATAGTAAACTTATTTCCGTCATTTCCAGACACAAAATTATTTGTCGGTCGCAATTCCAGGAATTGCAACCGTTTAGTTTTAATATAAATGAATTGAATATTTTGCGTAAGTAAACAAAAATTGTAAAGTACTAAATAAGCTGAATTAACAAAAATGTAAGTTAGCAATAAGCTTAGTTATTACTAAAGGAAATTAATAAAATCAGTTGTTAAATATCCACAGCCAAGTACTGTTGTGTCTTTTTTAAAAATTCTCCGGAACAAAGTAAAAAGTTAAGTCCCGTGCTTCCATTTTCACATTCACAAATTTTCCTGTTGAAAATACGGAATTGGAATAGTTTAATTTATGTTTAAACTTTCACATCCACGTACGCTTTTGCGATTTGAATCCGAGTCTTTCATTGCTAGTGGATTGAAAAGAGAAAGAATGAAAAAGAAATGTGAAAGTGTGTTTAAAATAGGGATGACATTTTTCAATACAAAAATTTGGGAAAATGGGAGCACATCAATTCACTTTTACAGAAAACTATAAATTCACATTTGAAATGTGCAAATGGAAGGCCGGCTGTAATGTATATAATAATAAATTCAGTAATTGCCCTGAGCACAAGCGTTACTTTTGCTTTGGGAAAGTGGACCAGGAAACGACCTATTCGAAAAAAAAAACGTATTTATGGATCGATTCATTTGATTGGTTACTTATGATTTTAAATTACATAAATATAAAAAAGACATTTATCACATAAAAAATTTGGCCAGTTTAATTAATATTATTGCATATTTTCTTTTTCGTTGTTGTTAAATTCAACAAAAAAAAAAAATAGTAATTGTGGTGACAATCGAAATCCGATGATATTTGGTGTATCATCAAAGCTAAGTTAATATAATAAAAAGAAAACGAAACCAACCCATGGCAAATTATGGTTCAAGACTTTATAAAAAGTAGTTTGCTGAGTTTGCTCAATGGACAATTGAAATTATATTATTTTTACAGTCACTATCTTCGACAGTTGAAAATGTGAATAGTGTTTATGGTCCCGATATTGTATTGGACGGTCAATTTTGATTTTTTATTAGTTCCGGTAATTTTGTCAAAATGTCCATAAAATAATGGAAATCATTTCGCGTGTGACCATCATGTGAGTGCGAATATATGACCTTGACCTAATATATTCGAATAAAAGAAATGAAATTGGTTGACAAAAACAATACATTTATTTAAAAGTATGCAAATATACTGACAGTTGGCAACATTTCGGCGATGCAAGCAACGTCAATCACATTTTACAACGTATCCCTCATCCAGTCGGGTTGTACGGCTGGAAAGTGTGTATTTAGAATAACTAGTTGTGGCAGTTTGCTGTTCGTTCCTCGATTGAAACATTTAAATTTCCTTAGAAAAGCGAAGAAGCTATGCCAAAAAAGCGTCACAGCTCGCATGCCTTTAGTACTGTTTGAAGGCACTTATCAATTTATAGTATAAGATTTGCTTTCCGGATCCACTCAAGTTCAATGGCATTGCCACGATCCAGTGAATGGTGTATGTGTAGTCAAACCAGCACTCGTTGTAGACGAAGAGCTCTAGCTGCCTCGAAAGTCCTGTATAACTAACTAAGATCTGGATATTGTAATAGACTAAACTCCTACCATTCCAGACCTTATACCGATATACCCAACGCATCCTCTGTATGTAATGAGTTTACACACCTCACCAACCACCTCGTTGCATGGCTCTAAAACTAAGTCATCTAACTCCGTTTTACCTCTTGTCCGAACCCGCTCATCTCTGGAACCTCCCGTAAAATGACCTCGATGACCTACCTGCTCTTAAGCAGCGGGTATCAGGAAACTTTCGATCCGGCGGATTTAGCTGCGATGCATTCGTTTGCGCTTTTTCTTTACTTCTTTACACTTGTTTCTTGGTTCTACTTAAAAGCGAAAAATTTCCTTATCACTTAAGGCCAGGTTCCTCCAAAGAATTGTTTTTTATTTCAAACAAATTTCATTTATTAAAAAATAATATTTAAAAAACAAAGTTTATGTATGTAAATAAGCAGACGTATAAAAATATTAATTTGATTTTTTTTTTTGAATGGCGGAGTGACACGACACGACTGTAAAACGAAACATCTGAAAGCAAAAATCCGGAGTAAATTGCCATTTAGTTTATGCTAATAAGTTCAATTGGTTCTAAATGAGAGTGCCACCCAGTTGAAAAATCGTGGTTTCGAGAAGATTAAGGTTTTTGTTCGTGAGCTCGGCGCGCTTCGCTCTTCCCTCTTCTATACACAGTTTTTGATCTTGCGGACCTTCGGGACTAAGTCTGTATTGTTTCTAAGAGTATTTTCTAGCAATATACGGAAAAACTCGCTTTTTTACATTTTTCAGAGGAACTTGGCCATAAATAGAAAATACATTGTCTTAAAGCCAAGGCCTATCATAAATATTACGTAATGTTTAACTTCTTTTTACTATTTACTGTAAGAGTCTTTTTTAATAACGGACACCCTAAACGTAACGATAAATTTCACGTTAATAGTAAACTTTTCATCGTTTTGGCTGAAACTTTTGGAAATATTGACGTTGAAATTGTTATCAAAATAAATTTATTTTCATTTTCAACCAAAACGAACAGCTGTCATTGATGTTAAATCTTTAACTGATAATGTTAGACGTTAATAGAATAATAATAGAATAGAATGTTACGACAAAAACGAAATCATATGTTTAATGTTGAAGCCCTGCAAGACGGGTAGCTGTTGTCTAACATGTTATCCGTCTGTTACTTTACATACGTGCATTTGTTATTTGAATTTTTACTTTTCTTCTAGCTGTGGGAAAAAATAACAAATTTCTCCGCTTTGTTTCATGTACGTGTGATTTTCTTTCTCACTTTCTCGCATTGTATTTATCAGTATGCGATATATATTCGCCTTTTGAAATTTTTTGTTACCATATCTATAATACATCTATATTCAAAACAAGCAAGTATGTTACTCGATCTGTTAATCACATGTTAGCATATCTATGAACGGTGAGTTATTCAAAACAAATACACTTGTTATCAGACGCGACACCGGTGAGTTATTAAAGACAAATGCCTTTGTTACCCGACGTGTTACTCATTTGTTATTTAAAACAAATGTCTTTGTTAACCGAAGTGTTACTCATTTGTTATTAAAAACAAATGTATTTCTTACCCGAATTGTTACCCATAGGCTATTGATCTTTTACCTATTTTTCTTTAAAACGAAAAATAGCAATTTTTATGTATTTATTTGTTTTTTAAAAATATACATAAAAAAATTTACAAACTTACATCTTTAATCTAAAAAGTTACAGCTCTTTTAACATAATTACATGAAAATTAATGGAACATTCATTTGTGTTACTTAACACTACAACTACAATTTGGACTAAGTTTTCGTGTAATTAAATTATTAAAAGACAGCGGAAGACCTCCACTCCGTTGGAAAGATCATGTGGAGTAGAAGCTGGCTAAACCGAAGGTGTTATTAACTCGGTGTTAATCGTGTCAGGTAGATCGCTTACAGCAAAGAAGAAGTATACTAATCGAATCTGAAATACACCAATAGAAAATTATTATATATTATATTGAATATTTATCTATTAAAATATATTTTATCTTAGATGGGAAAATGGATTGATATCCTTTTGGTATTCATTTTGATTACAACAATTAAAAGTTTGGAAAACTGGCTTTGCCAAGCTCATTACTATTCGGTAAGAATGCATATCGTATGTCGAATACATGCATAACAAGTCTAAAATTTTAAGAAAAAAAAAAATTTTTTAAATACATTTGAATAGACTAAAAGATAATTAAATAAACTTTCTTTTCAAATCCATTTTAACTAATTTTAAGCAAAAAAAAGAACCTTTACAATCGCTATACGAGTATATGTATGCCTGGCACATGCACAACAAATTGTAAATATTTCTTCCAAATAAATTTGCTTTAACTAAAAAAATGATAAAATAAACTTTCCTTTAAAAATCAGTTTAACTAGGTAAAGATAAATGATTACGCAAAAAAAGAACTTTTCTTACTACATTGCCATTCGGTACATATGAATACACTCGTATAAATACGTATGGCTCAAAATTTGCAGTGCACTTTTATTTTCGCTTTTGAAACTACAGCCAAAGGTTTCAATTTATTGCAACACGGATTTAATATCTTTGGCCGTAACTACAATCCCTAACATTTTAGAAACTCACCTAAGGCTTTGGGCAGAGCTTACGTCCGCTATTTGCTGAAGGATTTCATGTATCTGTAATTCTTCCAAAACAATGAATTGCTGTGTAGAATGAGGAATCAGTCAAGGTGTGCTGATGTGGCGGCCATATCGAGTATTTTGCTATGTATTGTAAACGAAGACGGCAACTGGAATAACTGATTATATTATTATTCTTATTATAAACAAAAAAAGGAACTGCAAATGTATTCGGACATATGTACAAAAGTACATACATATATATGAATATATGTACATACATGCATTTTGGTAACATACCTAATTTGGCTGCTTGAACTCCGTTGGGCTTGAATCCATTAAATTAATCTGTAATAAAGATTTATATATTTATTTTGGTATTACATAAAAGAAAAGCTGCACATTCGTTTATACCTTATTTCTTGGATTTTCGCTATCGATCTTTGGTACTGTGTCGGAATCATTGAATCAATCTGAAATAAAGAATTAAGTTATTGTTTGTTGGGAATACTGTAAAATCAAGCATCTTACCTCTAAGCGTCTTTAAATAAAAAAATGAATGGCAGAGCATTTTCAAATGCCGTATTTGAATTATGTGTATATTTAGTAGCCTTTCCACAGAAACTGTGAGATAGTAGTGAATGTAGTGGTAAAACGCCGAAATCGTACGATATTACTTGCGAAATGGTTACCTCCGTCTTGCAGGGAGATAGTTCAAATTTGTGGGTTGCCGAAAATTTTAAAATATGGATGAGCGGTGAAAAAGTATGGAGTGGGGACGAAAATTAAAAAAAAAAAAATTCATACTCGTCAACGATACCTTTTTGTAAATACAATGAATAAATTTTTTTGGGGCTGGAAACATAAAGTTTTGCCATTAAGAAAACTTGAATTCATCGGATAGTTAACAATATAATAAGAAAGAAGTATTGCTTATTAAAAAAAAATATGTATATATATTATACTTCCGTATCACATTTGATGGGCTTCGACTACCTGAGCCATGGTTTGATCAAAACAGCCTACGACTTGTACCTTGCACAAGAGCTTCTTGTTTGCTAGTCTTTGCGCCATTTTTGGTAAAAAAAAACCCAAATCTGTGACTGAGATGTCCTTAGTACTACGGTGCTAAAACAAAAATAAATAAAGTATAATTTGTGTTTTCTTCTGTATTTCTTCTGTATTTACATATGTATGCACTTATATGTTTTTTAAAGAAAAAAGTTATGTATTTTTATTATATAAATATTAAGTATCGCCCACTGTACGTATATAGATGACGAAGTTGGTTCGGTGACCTCAACGGTTGTCGTAACCTTGTATTCTACAATATATCCCTCGAACATCTACATATGTATGTACCTAAAATTTTTTTTTTATACACATCGAAAATCTCTTGTGCTTTGATTTAACATATGACTCAATTTTGTTGTATTTAGATCTATCTTTTTATAAAATTCTACCGACTTTATAATTTTCTTTTCATATAATAGCCGCCGTAATTTTCTTACGTGCATATGTGTAAATTATACAATTACATTCTTTTATGGAAACAATTTTTAATTTCAGCGTACACATAATGTAGTTTTAGAATCTCTTTGCTACCCTGCCTTACTCAATACAAATACTTCTGTTTTTTATGATGATATACAGAAGAACCGGAGATCACCTCCCGAGCAGATGTATGGGCACTAGGCATAACAACAATCGAATTAGCCGACGGCCAGCCACCTTTTGCTGAAATGCATCCCACCCGAGCTATGTTCCAAATAGTGCGGAATCCTCCGCCTACCTTATTGCGGGCAACTAATTGGTCTCAACAAATCAATGATTTTGTATCGGAGTGTTTGGAGAAAAATGTTGAAAATCGCCCAATGATGGTTGAAATGATTGAACATCCATTTTTGACCGAACTTTTTGACAATGACGAAGAAGTGGGTGGATAAAATTACATAAAATGTAGAAATAAGTGTTTTAACCTATAAAAAAATTTTTCAGATGCAAGCAGATATTCGCGAGCTGCTTGTTTTCTGCAGAGATTCACCACCTATATATAAAAAACCGGAGATCTTTGTCGATAGAGGGTACATCAAACGTTTTGATGGAAAGCCGGAACGAATGTATCCCGAAGACTTGGCAGCTATAGAGAATCCGACGGAAGAGATGATATTAGAATCACTGCGTAATCGTATGGAACTTGGTGGATCTTACAGCTTTATAGGTGACGTTCTACTGTCCTTGAACTCCAATGACTTACAAACAGATTTCGATGAAGAGGTAGTCGAATCCTAATATAAAATTAATAAACTCTACTGCACTTGAAATATTTTCAGTTTCACAGTAAATATAAATTTAAATCGCGGTCGCAAAACTCGCCACATATATTTTCTGTTGCTGACATTGCATATCAGGACATGCTTCATCACAAAGAGCCGCAACATATCGTGTTTTCTGGGGAGAGCTTTTCTGGCAAATCGACAAATGTCCGCTTGCTCATAAATCATTTATGCTACCTTGGAGCTGGTAATAGGGGTGCTACCGCTAGAGTAGAAAATTCCATCGAAGTGATTCAAATGTTGGTGAATGCCGGTACACCCATTAACAATGAATCCACAAGATGTGTAATGCAGTATTTCCTTACTTTTGGCCAGACAGGAAAACTTAGTGGGGCTGTTTTCAATATGTACATGCTAGAAAAGCTTCGAGTGTCTACAACTGATATGTAAGAAGTTCTTTGTAAAATATCTTCTACTATTCCAGTATTCATGGGTATTTATTTCTAGGAACCAGCACAATTTTCATATATTTTACTATTTCTACGATTTCATGAACAGCGAAACTCTTTTGAAAGAATATCATTTAAGAAATGATCGCGGATATCGCTACCTTCGCATTCCTGCAGAAGCACAGCCTACTAAATTAAAATATCATCGAGATGACCCTATAGGAAATGTCGAACATTACAAACGTTTTGAATCCATTTTGCAGGATCTTGACTTTAACCATAAGCAACTGGAAACATTACGAAAGGTAAGGAATTTTTTTTTATATTGAGAGCTGACTCCTCACAAATAAGTATGAAAGAAGAATTTTATTGAGGGACTGTGAAAAGAAGCTTCCCCAGTAGCCAAACAGTTTTTGCGGCTTATACATCTTGTCACAGCATAACGCGGCGTCAACTTTAAGCAAATGGAATTTTCAATTTTTTAAACCGCGTGAAAAGAAACAGCGAAAAGGAATAGGCAAATGGGAGAAACATTTGAAAAAAATTATATTTTGCAAAAAAAAAATTCTCTGAAAAGTTAATTTAGCTGGTGGAGGCAAAACTTTTCTCTCGAAGGCTCCTAACGATTGTGTTTTTTCTTAGATTCCCAGCTGAATCAAGTAAAGATTTAAAAATTTTGAATTTTTGTGGAATTAATTTTATGATTTTTAATTAAACTTTGCAGACAAATATGTAAAAAAGCTTAAAAACTAATATTACTATTTCAATCGTCTTTCTTCATATAAGCGCCAAATTTTTTTATTGCAAGCTCTACATGTCTCGAACGGATATTTTATAACAATACAAAATTGTATAAAATATGTTTCTGTGCAAAACGTACCCATTTCCTAATTTTAGTAGGCAACGGACGGAGTTGTTCGATGTGGTTCACTCAACAGCAAAAAATATTTTCGCTTGCCAGAGGCATTTTCAAATAAAATGAGAAAAGGCAGCACAGTAAGATTTCCTGGCAAGTGGGCGATCCCAGAATATAGGGAAAATAGCTTAAGGAATATTGTTGATGCAGGTAATTGAAATTGCATAAAAAAATAATGACTCAACTAGTTTGAATCTGCGGCCTTTTCAGAGGAGACCTTTCCCTCATTGGAAGAACTTCTGTGTTCTTCTACTTTAGGATCAGGAAGTTTGTCGAACACTAGGACAAGTAGTCGTCAGTTGCAAACTGACAATCAACTTACCGATGATACTTTTGGAAAACGAAAGTGACAGGGTGAAGCCCATATTTATTTGGCCATCTTGAAGAATTCTTTTACAATTCGCTCAAGTTTGACCAAGAAGTCTTGGCTGCGGGTTGAGCTCTATAAAAGCCTGGAGTTTAGAAACAAAGGCTTCACAGATCCACAGCAATGTCCATCAACTAATGTTATATAATAAGTCTGAAAGATTATCGCAGATTGGTTTTCAGTGTTTTAATACTTTAAATTCATGGCATTGGTAGAGAGTCTTTGATCAAGGGTCCATTTTTAATGAGTTTTTTTAGGGATATAGGAGTTTTGAGAAAAAAATTATTTTTCGAAGATAATGGCGAAAAAAATGTTTTCTCCAACTAATCTTAATACTATCGAATTTGTCCTATATTTAAATAAATTATTTAATATTTTTTGTAGCATCGCATTAAGGGTCGAATATATTTGATCAAATTTTAATTTTTATGAAAGGTTGGCTGGCTCCTCAAAACTAATAGTTGACAACGATGGTAGCGTTTTTGGTCTTATTGCGAATTCAAATATGACATTTGACCAGACTAGAAATTTGAGATAGATGAATAACTCGGCAGCCTTTTCATATATGTACTTTGGTGGAAGCGTTTGTTATTGTTAGAAAAAAGAAATGAATTTAATAGAGACGCGAAATAACCAAACTTCAAAATTAAGAAATTGTGCCGAAGAATTACCGAAGACAAATAAATAGATTTAAAAAATTGGTTTTCACCGAGAAATATGTATTTGGTTTGAGGTCTTGAAATACGCTTTTGTTTTTTTCATATCTATGTGTGTACATACTCGTACGCAGGTTACAAAAACTGTTCTCATAGCTTTGTAAACTACGAGTTGTGTTCAAAAAGTGTCGTGAATTTACTATTTTTTCAAAAATTATTTATTTATTCATGAATTTACATTTTGTACCCTTCAAAGTGATTCCCATGAGATATTATACACTTGTGCCAACGGCTTTTCCAATCTTCGAAGCACTTCAAAAAATAATTTTTTTATCTTGTCTGTCTGTCGCAAATATTTTTTACCCAAGTCTGTTTTATTAGATCAAAAAACTAACAGTTTTAGGTCTAAGGTCTGCTATTATGGGTATTATTATCAAGGCAATATTTCAATAGCTTTTCCTTTTAAATTTTTTCCTATATGGGACCCCAAGCCTCATCGCTTTTCTTTTTGTAAAAAAGTATTTACGGTAAGTATACTAATTTTTGTAAAGAAAAAATGGAAACATTCGAAAGAACATTTTTGGCATTTATTTTTTGAAGAGTAAATGTTTCAAATGTTGGCCGCGGCTACGTATCAGATAATCCAACGGTTGAAACCAATTTTGGATGACATTTAGACTAGTAACTGTGAATTGACTGCCGTGTTGTTTGGCTACAAGGCCAGAATCGTCGAAAAAAAAGGCGACCGGTCCAAAACGTGAAATTATCTGTTCATCGATATGTTCTCTCAATAAACCCATTGATTGATACGATGTGTGGGGAATGGCGCCGTCTTCTTAAAACCAAATGTGGCCGAAATCACTCATTTGCAGGTATCACATAAACAGTCATCTTTGCGCGATAACGATCGTCATTGAGAGTTACGTTCTCACCGGCAACATTTTTCTTAGTAAGGTGCCACTCCCAAGATTTTTGAAGGAAAAAGACCTATTTTTCTGAATGAAATGACAGTTTTTGAACCTTTCCAGGTTGATCTTCGTCCCAAATGGGACAATTTTGATTGTTTGGAGTTAACATACCAATTGAGCCAAAAATGGGCATCATCGCTGAAAAAATATTGGCTCGAAAACGTCGGACTTCCTAAGAGCTTTTCAAGAGCACATAGACCGAAGCGATGTCGCTTCAGAAGGTCGAGCGGCTTCAGTTGTTGCAGAAGCTGTATCTATTTATATCTGTTATTTGTTTACATAAAAATAACTCTTTTATACCATTAAAAGAGCAATGGAGAATGAAATCTCTTGCGCAACTCTAAATTAAGATAAGGGAACGATGATACCAATATTCCCGCACAAATTGGAAAAAAATAGATTTTTGATGAATCGAAAGACCAACTTCCAGTTTTTGTTTACACTACATTAGTTACAACAATAGTTCAAGGTAATTTGAAGTTTGATTCAAGTATATTATACTCGTATCTATACCATATTTCGTACTTTATATCTTTCTCTATGAATTTATTTTTGGCCGAAGTGAAATCTCTGAGAAGAGTTATAACTCATTTATCTGAAGATGTTTTGTCATTAAGAAACGAGGTTCGCACTAGCACTTTACATTCTTCTTACCTTTCTTACATGCCCTTCAATGAGAAAGCAGCCTTCGGTCCTAAATGAATTCTTATATAAAAAATGCATTACAGTTTTAATAAACATGCATACACGTTGGTATATAGATAGGTAGATGTATTGTCGAAATTTCTTCATTAGTTTCATGATTATATTTTTATCACAGCTAAGTATGTATATCCGATGTTGCTAGTTTTCTGCGAGCTGCCATGAATGTTAACAGATGTTGTGGCACAAAAGTTTTTATGGAAGGGTATAAAATAGAAGCCTGCGCTGATAGGTAATTTGCTTAAATCCTAAATTTTTACTTTTGTATCATTTTAGGAGAATTTTACCAAATTTAAATAGTTGATTTCATTTTGAAATTATAATCTTAAATTAAAAATTATTTAAAAAAAATAAAATGCTCAAATATCGTCGTGGAGGTAATGTAGCAGGTTTCTGTGGCAATAACGAAACTACTTATACAGGCAATAAGAAAAATAATTAGAACGACTGGTATTACGAAATCGATACGTTTGCGACATTAGCGGCGATAAATTTGTCAAAGACAATATGATACGAAACTTTTTTTCTCGTGAGAGCGCCGAAGAATGTGTATTTTTTATAACATTTTCAAACCTTCCCACTGGGATGAGAAATAATATTGGGGACTTTTGCAATTTCCACACCACTACTGAGGTATGCAAAAGGCGTGTTACCGATGGTATTTTTGGGTGCTCGGTTCCCCAGGAGGCCTATATCACCCATATAAATATATACATAACAAAGAAAAAATATATACATACATAAAAATAGTTAAAAACACAAAAACAGAAACAAAGCAAAAAATTCACTGCTTTCAAGTATAAAATTTAAATTAGCAAAAAGCGCATATCTCATAACAAAATGAAAAATACCATATAAAATTCGTTTTATAAGTTTACAAAAACTTAATTGCACATACTTGTTATTACATACATATATGAAAATAATTATGTATATATGCATGTATGTACTCTATAATGAAGCAAGATTAGGAGCTCCCAAAAATATTGATGCAGTTTCCTTATTTAACCTAAACATGAGAAACACACAAAATTTCGGATCTAAAATTTGGTTTACAAAAATTACTATTGAAAAATTGTAACAAAAAAAATTTCTGATCCTAACAAAAAGGAAGAAAACGGCATCAGAGTATTGTTGGAACAACATGGGAATGGTCTGACGTGTTTCATTCTGTCGAAAAAAATTTGGGCTACACCTTCTATGACAGGTGAACTCAAATTCCCTATTAAAATTGGTCTTTAACTCCTTTATATCATCTAAAAATCCTTGCGGAGGCTTTATAAGGTTACACCTGTAAATTTGCCTTTGCTGGATAAAGTAAAAATCAGATGAAACATCTTCTCCTAAATAAGCTAATAGTTGGAAACAAATATGTGTCTTAAAAATTTTTAAATAAGTTATCCGCAAAAGTAGGCATAGACATTTGCTCTAAGAAAATCTACTTCTATGTCATCTAATTTTGCCTGATATTCTAACGTAATTCAATTAAATGTATGTTCTGGCCGAGGGAGGCTTTGAAACACCTGCCAGGGTAAGTCTCGCAGTACATTATCGTTGCACACATTTTCCAGAATTTCGCTTGAAATTTTCATTTGAAGGTAGGGGCTCGCAGTTTCCTTTGACGATTATATTTGCATATCGCAAACCCCATGATTTTTTAAATAACAGAACAGGTAAAGTGTTATTCTCACACTTCTACCACCCTCTCTCCTAATTTGGCCAAAATAATGTTCGAATCTATCTTGGCAAAGTTGTCTCGTCTGTGGGTAAGTGAGTCCTGAGTGTAACAGAATCTGCGGTGTTACAAAATTTAGGGGAAGAGGAAGTCAAAGACCCTGCACTATAAATTGCTGACATGCCGGAGGCGGCCGTATCGCTAAAAACTTGGGCAGCTAACTTTATGCTCATCTTCTGAAAATTATTTGGGAAAAGATGTGCATCAGAAAGTTTAGATGCACAACGGACTGGATTTTGCGAATCTTTGTTATAAAAATTAACGATGATGGAACAGCTAAGTAAGCGCGATTTAAAGCTAATTTTTTGAATTCTCTAAACAGTTTCTAACATTCTTAATAAGGAGGGGACTATCATAAAAAAGGGTGATTTCGTCAAAATGAACACAAATCTTTAATTATGTATGAAGCCCGGCTTCTCAACTCTAAACGCTTGATGGTACTATTATTACAGCCTGTTCCCGGGGCCACTCTGAAACAAACTTACCAAGTGTTCTTTCTTCGGGAAGTCGGGAGACAGAAAGTATACACCTACAGCCAGATGTTGGCTGTTATTTTTTAAACTATTTTCTACAATAGTTTTAATTTGTTGGGGAAGCTGACTACATTGAACTAAATCCCTCCTCATTGTCTTTCAATTATTTTTTTTGAAATTAGTATATTTGCAATTAACTACTGACAACTGCGTCTGCTTCTTCTGCTTCTTCTTATTCTTCTATTCTTTTCTTTTATGCTAGACTTTAACTTCCTATTCTCCTCAATAAGCTTTCGATCTTTAGCTGTTACTGTTGTCGGACTTAAATTTGTTTGACTTCCCCTTTCTACAAAAGTTTTATTTATATTTGAAGATGCTATTATTAAGTTTTGATCAGAGCGATCAAAAAAATTGGACTATCTTGAGTATCTCCTGCAACTGAAGCTAGGAAAAAAGATTATTCGGTTACAAACGGTAAATTACAATTAGGAACAGCGTTGTATAGGTATGTATAGTTTTGCCATCACCCAAATTTTATGCGATTTAATTAAGTCTTAAGATTAAGCGGCGGAGGCACGTTGCTTTGTCGATTAAGTTATACAATTAACTTCCTGAAGAATTAACAGTTTGTTTGCGAGTGAGATGAAATGAAGTTAAACAACTGGAAACTAAGTTTGACCTCTCTGATCCTAAAAGAGGTGCGTAGGAAAACTGATTCGCCATAAATATAGCGTCAACAATATTCAAAATCAACACATTTTGCGTAAGGTTACAAGTGTGAAACCCACAAATTTGTTTGAATTTCGATCCTTTTTTTAAATTTTATAAAAGATGTGTGATGTTATGTTATACTTTTTATGTCATATAACTCAACCGATGAAAGATTATTGGATATGATAACAACGGCATGTCATTAATTCTTAAGATGTGCAAGTTGGAGATTTTTCTTTTAAACTTATCCTTATATAACTATTAATTGTAGTCTAGACCAAGACCAACAGATCAGTTCATGCTGTAAACTGAATTTTAATATTCCTACTCGTGTATAGTGTATTTATGTATTTAGGTCTCTACTACTGATGTCATATAAAACAATTCGTGTGCTAAACGAATCATTTCGCCAATAGTTTCATGATTTCAATTTTTATTCGAGCACCGTTGACTTCTATCTCACTTTTTAGCGTTTTCCTGATTGGGAAAATTGAAAGAGTGATGTGCTTCACTGCAGCCCACCACACACTTCTTTACGTTAGGCATTTATTCTGCAGAACACAGCAAATCAACTAAAATTAAATATTAAATTTACACTTCTTTAACATTCACTAATAACTCACATCAGTTTATTTTGATTTAACTAATACTATTCAAATACTATTTAGGTTTTAACTGTTTTTGTCAGTTATTTTTGGCGGGTTGTTTATGGCATCTCATATATTCTGCTAACAGCTGATTGCTGGGTCTCGATCTTTTAGTTTGAGGTGGAAACAAAACCTAATCGGGTCCCAAAAGTAAGTTTTATATCATATTATCTTTGGTGATAGGGGTCTTAGTCGTGTCCCAGATGTTTCGATGGCATAAAGAGTTGAAGTAGGGGTGTGAAAGCGTGGAAGACGGATCGCGGAGAGGGAGACCAGTCGAGGTACGAACTGACACGAATGCGCAGTGTGTTCGCGTTCTAACCCATGTAGATCGGCGTTTAACAGTTCGAATGTTGGAGTCGGAACTGGGTTATGAACCGTGAAACAGTCAGACAAGTTATAACCGACGATCGTAACTGAATCGTTCATCACGACAACGCGCCGTGCTACACCGCCCTCAGCGTGTCTCAGTATTTGGCATCTAAAGAGATCGCCGTGTTGCGAAAACCCCCTTGTTCGCCCGATATGTCATCAGTTAATTTTTTTTTTCCAGGAACCCATTTTGAGTCGGTTGATGACATCTGGCGGCTATCCATAAATGTTACGAAGCGTGGAAAATGCGCTGGAATCGTTGCATAGGTGCCGAAGGGGACTACTTTGAAGGGGATGGCAGAGTGGTAGAATAATATTGAAACATACGGTTTTTATGGAATCAGTATCATTACTTAATTGTCACACCTCGTAGATCTTCGAAGAGCAAGAGGTTTCAGATTTTTTAGCATACATCGAGAAGTAGCGTAGTCGAGAAGAAGGTAGGAGATTCGAGAAATGAAGCGGAGCAAGAGCAAAACGAATAAACATACGTTGGACGGTTTCAATTTTCCAAATTAAGCTAACATACTTCAGCTTTGAACGAACCATATAAATTTTACGTTTGTAGGTATCTTTAAATTTGCCACCATACCGCCGTAAAAAGCAAGGTTAGAATAAGCTTTTTGAATGATATAATTAATGTAAATCCCACTTCAAACAGCACACCAAGCTCCAAAAACTCATTTACAAAATATAACTTATAAAGAAACTTATCTACCACTTTGAAAGTTTTTATATAATGAAAATATTTCACCTTGTGTAGGTGATCATTATTGACCTTAAATAAATTATAACCTTTTTTTAACTTTTTTAAACGCTTCGTATACCACGGAAGCTTATGCAAACGAGGGCGAACAAAAGAAAGACAACTAGAAAATTTATCATTCTGTTTGGATAAGAATGTTTCATTTTTAGAGAAAAAATCTGATTTCCAATACTTGCATTCAAAGCGGCAAAGTCGGCGTTACGAAACTTATAACGTTTGATAGTATTGCTGGCTGAAACGGACAAGAACTAAAAAAGCTCTTCATAAAAAACATCGGCCGTTCGGAAGTGGCTTATAATAATCTGTAGGTCCCTCCATTTGTTAAAAAAAAAACATCAAGACGCAAAACCACAAATTAGAGGAGGAACTTGGCCAAAATCGCTTCATCAGTTCCAAGGCGCCAAATACATTTCATTGGAATTAGTTCAAGGGATTACTAAGAAAATTTAGAAGTAATGTCAAAAATATTTCATATCAAAGGAAATTGTTACATTTTATAAAAAAGCCAGTTTTTTTGTAAGAAGCTCGAAAGCTTTTATCTAAAATTAAAATCTTTGAAAAATATATTAAAATGGATTAATTGCATTAATGTTTAGGTGGCACTTGCGAAAAATAGACTTATTTAGTTGACAAATGTACAGACACCCATTAAATAATTTTCAAACACAAAAAGCTCCACTCTAGATTGCCCTAGATTGACTTTGCGTGGTTATACCTTTGAAATGCGTTTTCCGATTTTCTGATGGCTTAGTGTATGTACATACGTATGCTAAGCTGCTAGTTTCATTTTTTTCTAATGCGCGTGTTTCCAGCGATGCCACCAATCATACATTTATGTACGTATGTACACAAACGCACAACATACATAACTTTCCATTCCGTCGCGGGCTGAAAAAGAGTTTGAATCCTTAGTTAAATAGAAACTGAGAGAATTTATATAAGATGTAACAATGAATGCTAATCAAATGTTTTATTATATTTATGTTATTTGGTGATTTGATTTAATACAAAGAAAATGTAATAGTAGTTGAAGATGTTAAATGTTGTTGATTGAAGAGTTATACAGCATTGGATCTAACCACTTGACGACTTAGTTATTGGAATTTAGCAACGTTCTGGAATTTTCGAAGGACAACTTATTATTCTAGTGCGAACTTGACGACCTCGTTAACTGAAACTCTGCTACCGAATGACTCCTCTTCTTTACCGCTTCTCTTACTTCTTCACGTTTCATTTATTCTTTCGTTTACTTCTCATGTTGCCTCGAGTGTTACCAACTACCTATTTTACATTTATTAAAATTGAGTGAAAAATCACCGTTTTCAAATATTTCTCTAACGACTGGTTAACAAAACCAAATCTATATATCTCTATTTTTCGAAGATTAGCGCTAAGAAATCTACAATTCACGTGCCTGCAGCCAACCTCGCGCATGTCGCATTTTTGCAACTTGATATTCGAAACCGAAAACGGGAAAAGTGAAAATCACCACATGACAATTTCATGCGAAAACGAGTTGCTTGATTATAAAATCTAATATTACATATTACTTCCTTTTAGAACTACCGTCTTACTTGAGCTTTTTTAAGTAAAAATTTATTAATTATGTAAAAGATTTTAAACTTCCATTACCGTTCATAAAAAATGTAATGTGTTTACGTGAATATTCATATGTACATTATTTTCTATCTTAAATCAACAGGTTCTGGCAGCTATTTTGAATATTGGAAACATTCGCTTTCGGCCATCTGGAAAATACGCCGAAGTAGAGAACACGGAAATGGTCACTCGCATAGCAGAATTGTTACGGTTAGACGAGAAAAAGTATATGTGGTCATTAACCAATTTCATTATGGTGAAAGGAGGAATAGCGGAACGACGACAATATACTACTGAAGAAGCTCGTGATGCTAGGGACGCTGTAGCATCAACAATATATTGCCGTCTAGTCGATTGGATTATTAATAAGATTAATATGAATCTAGCCTTTCCTCGGGCAGTGTTGTAAGTACATAAGTGAGACAACTTACTTCTTAAATTCCTCTTTATTCTTTTTTACCCAAAAATATTAAAAATATTTGTTCAACAAACATTCAGTTGCGTTTCTGTCTGTCATATAAATAATATTGTACATAAATATGTATGTATAAACATAAGAATTATCATATACAAAGTATGTGTCGCATAATTGCCACTTTAAGTCCTTGGCCCTTTTCTAGCCCTCTATGGCTTCATTTTCGAAAAAGTAAGGTGCATGTGTACATTTTTAGACTGATTATATGTACAAAATTATATATACAAAATCACATATTTATATGTAATATAAAACAATTCTCGTGTCACAGTTTTTGTAACCGAAGTCCTCTAAAACAGCTGGACCGATTTTTAAGGAGTTTTGGACGAGAATCGGAAGTGGACTAAGTACCACAGATCAAATTGGCTTGGTCCATTCCATTTGTATTTTGACTAAAGCTGGAAATTTGCGTGAAAGTACGTGCACTTCAATGAATTATGTAGCATACATACGAGTATGTATGTATATACATACATACATACATAGATACATATGAATGTACATTGTATTTAATTGAGAGAAAAAATAATTCTCAAAATGAGATTTATGCAATTTCGCATAATGGAAGACCCTTATCTACATACCTAACGTTTGTACCGATTTGGCTAATTTTTTTCTGATTATTCATATTTAATAAGGGAGAGCTTTCCCGTAGTGGGGACTGGACTAGGGGCCCATTTGTACGAGAAAATCTTCGGTTCAATCGAATTTTTGTGGATGGGTATGGTTGAATTTGCTTGAAATTATATTCTTTTCGAGTAGTTAATCCGAAACCGATCTGTTCAGAAAACTCGTATCCATGGAAAGTTTAATTAATTTTTAGGTTGTTTACTTCCCTAAAGGTTTCTGTAAAACTACAAATACGCATAAAAATTGAAAAGGGTGTGCCCATGAACTTTGCATGGTCAGTCTACGTTATCTATATCCGTGATGACATATCGTTCTCCGGGGCCGCTGTACATTCATACATATATATATATATATACGTATGTATTATGTAATTGGCGCTTTGTAAATGTTGTGCGATCTTCGGCCGAGCTCCTTCTTCCTTGCCGAATGGCTGAGGGTTCTTTATGAGGAGACTTTATTTCGTGTCAGATATACACTCGGAGGAGTTGACATTTCCTGCCGAGAAAGACCGAAGTTAGAAGATTAAGCTTAATTTTTTTATTTAAATTAATTTTCTATAATTTTTTGGATGTTGGTACGACACCAGGACTTTAAACCACTCGGCTACCGCGGTCGACAGTTCAAATGTTATGCTGCAACCACTCATTTTACATACCTCCCAGACATAGCAACGTATCTTATGAGCGGGCCATGTAAATAAAAAGTTGTCAGCTCTTGCCGATGCCGCTGCTGACAAGTCCCCCAGTAAATACTCTCAAAAAACTCTTAGTTATAGGACTCTTGCCTGAGATTCTTTTTTCTCCAAGAAGGCACCGATCTATTTAAAAAAAAGAAGATATATATATTCATATGCACATATAGGAAAAATGATTCATCTATCGCAAGCGACCCATTCTCGAACGACATGCAACAGCACATGACTTGCAGTCAAAAAATTCCAGAGGATCGCAATAGAAGTAACAATTCTGACCTCATCTTTCAAAAGTGAAGACGCCCTCATCTGATCTTTAACCAAAAAAAAAAAAATAATGTTATGACGCTAAAAGAATATATTATGAGTTTGCATTGGATTATACAATACATACATATGTATATACGTATGCTCAAACTTTGAATTTTATCTATGTATCAGCTAATCTCACCAACGAAACGAAACTGACTCAATTGCAATTTATTTTTCGCTTAAGAGTAAATCTTCGTTTAGTAATTGCAATTATTAAAACACGAGCAATAATCGAATAACGCGAGTTGACCAAATAGTTGACTACAGAGTAGCAAAACCTGTTGAATTATTCCAATGTACCATACTATTTATATGGTCCACAAATATTCAGTGTTTAGTAGGAGTATGCCTATGGCGTTTTCAACTTTATACACGGATACAATTCAAATTGACGTGTACACATTACATTATATATTCCACTTAATTATAATATCAAGTGAAAAAAAGCAAAACAAGTTTCATTTATATTGACCTTCTTTAAACGTTTGATGTTTTTAGTGTATATTAAATTCTTTTCGAATTTGGCTTATTTTGGTTTATTAATATTTTTTCTTTTTTAGCGGGGACACTAACGCGGTCGTGGTCCACGATATGTTTGGATTCGAGTGTTTTCATAGAAACGGCTTAGAACAACTCATGATAAATACTTTGAATGAGCAAATGCAATACCACTACAATCAACGTATATTTGTGAATGAAATGCTAGAAATGGTAAGTTCACACACATGAAAATATGTAGTGTCAAAACCACTTCAAAATTGCTTTGAGAATTTATCGAAAGAGCGCATAAAAAGCAAGGTATTTATTTTAAATACTTTAAATATCTAGTGCTTATGTAGTGTAAAACAAGAATTTAAAGAACTAGACCATTTTATTTTTTCAGCTATACGACAATTATTAGCTTTACCTGCTCTTTGAATAAGGTGTAACCAGCTGCTGGAATAAAAGAAAAAAGACTTGTAACTCATTTCTCTTCACTTAAATCCCATGAATTAACTATGTACATTAATTATGTATATATCTCAAACTACTTTCGCCTCAATCCGATTTTTATATTGGTATTTGTCGCCAGCGGCGGACGCAGTAGCAGAGTTTTTAGCATTGCGTACTGCCATTTGCAAGGCTTGGGTTCAAATCCCCTTGCGACCAACACCCAAAACCTATGGAAAAGTAATTCAAATTAAAAATGAAGTTAAATTTTCTAACTGTGGTCGCCCCTCGGCAGGGAATGTCAACCCTTCCGAGTGTATTTCGGACATGAAATAAAAACTCCTCATAAAAAAACATCAGCCTACTCAGTCCAAAGTAGCAACTGTAGGAAGTCCCCTTGCAAACGATCTGATCAGTACTCAATTAACGGTAAAGGAAAACTATCTTTGATGATAATTTTGATAATCTGTCTATTATCAATGCACAATCGATGACCAAAAATTCAGAAAACCGTTTGGAACCATTTGCATAACCTTGGATTCAAAACGAAGCTCAATGTTTGTGTGCCATACGAACTAACGCAAAAAACCATGATGGACCAAATTTCCATTTGCGAATTGCTGCTGAATCGCAAAAAAATCGACCCATTTCTGAAGCGGATTGTGACTGGCGTTGAAAAATGCAAGACCGGATTGTCGGCCAGGTGGGATATGCAAGAAATCATCTACTACGAGCTGCAGCTCTATGGTCAAACGCTCAATTCGACCCTCTACTGCCAACAAATGGACCGCTTGAAGGCAGCACTCATCCAGAAGAGGCCATCTTTGATCAACAGAGGCCGAATTGTGTTCCATCAGAACAACGCCAGGCCACACACGTCTTTGGTGACGCGCCAGAAGCTCTAGGAGCTCGGATGGGCGGTCCTGATACACCCACCTTATAGTCCGGACCTGGCACCAAGTGATTACAATGGCGAACGCGCTTAATGGAGAGAAGTTGGCCTCAAGAGAGGCCTGTGAAAATTGGCTTTCTGATCTTTCTGCCAATAGGGACGCAGCCTTCTACGAGAGGGGTACAATGAAGTTGGCACCTCGTTGGCAACAAGTTTACGAACAAAACGGCGGACAAGTGTACACAAAGTTATCATATTTCGAAAAAATCAATAAAAAACCAAACAAACCTTTTATTTTACCTAACAAATTCCACCGTATAGTCAACTCTTAATAAGTGTTTTTTTTTTTTTGGGAAACTCCACATTACGCCAAATATTCGAACGTAAAGCACACTGGACGTCAACGTTTTTGCCAAATTTGAAATAAAGAAATTAGCAACGTTCTTCAGTTCAGGGCCTTCATTAATTATAAATGACCTGCACTTTTCAATAATCCATTCAGCGAAAATCTGATCTCTGTTCTGTTTCGTTTCAGCATCTACTTCTATTTTTGACATTTTAGTATAACGTTAAGAAGAAGCTGTGACATAGCACTTGTGTAATTACTAATTTTTGGTTGTATTTGTAGATATTGAAACACTTTCTACAATACATGCCAGAACATTGGGAACTTCATTTGCGGTATTGTATAATATTTTGCCGAAAGTTTTGCAAACCTTACTTCTTCCCCTCTTTTTACATATTTTAAACTTTTTCGTCGTTAGAAATCTGTTTAAATAAAATGAAACTTAACCCTTTACCATCGAGAGGTGACTCTCACTCACCATGGGGTATGCTTCCGCAACTCTAGAGGTGACTATCGTTCACAACTTTGTTTGCTGCGGTAACTCGATACGCGGGACTAACAGTTTTCGTTTACTTTCTTCGACGCGGGTTCTTATACGGCATGTCCACGACAGTCCAATTACGTGTTTCGCTCTCTCAATCGATATTCGCACTCCAAATTACAAATGGAACAAACAAGCGAAACCGAAAACTTACAGACTGTTGCCCTGTGAATGGGGATAATTCACATTCGTAATTGAGAGAGCGAAATACGTAACTTGGCTGTCGTAGAAATGCCGTAGCACGCTCTTTCTATATAATCTTACAAAGTATAAAGGGGAATGGAGATAAGATTTTCTTATCTGGGATTAGTTCGAACCTGACAGTCGTGATAGTGAGACCAAAACATGGAACCTGATCCTGAATTAAGTTCAAGTGAAGATGAGTTCGATTTCACGATGCTTAACGAGGAAATTTCGGCTATACACAGAGAGCTTAAAGATACAGAGAATAACAGCAGTTGTGACGACAATGACGAAATGAGAGGTGTTAGTTGGCGAAAGAACCGAGTAATAGACATTACTTATACTACAGAAGACTCGCAGTCGGACAGTTCCGAATTGCACTGAATCTAAAGAAACACCGTCAATAATACCATTCATATTCGGCGACACTACTGTAGGACCGCACTCACTATCAGATAAATAAGAACCATTCGATTTTTTTAACTATTTGTTGCTGATGAACTGGTGAATTAAATTGTTATCGAATCTAATACAATCGAAAGTAATACATACATACAAGTAATTATGTCACAAAAAATTAGAAGAGGTTACACTTTCCGATTATTGATTTGCATATCGGTTTCATTTTCGAAACATAATTTGTGTCAATTTTAGGTGCTAAGGACACCGATTTATCGGTTTAAATGTCAGAATTAAACCGATTAGTTATTCATTGACAGAATTGTGTGCAAATTTCCTTGCAAGCGGAAATTTAATAAAAATGTAAGTCATGAACAATGCATTTTACAACCAATACTGGATGTAAAAATGGTCATAAAAATTATCCAGCGTAGAAAATTCAAACGTTCAAAAGCCTTTAACATTTATGTTATAACCACAGAGATTGTAAGTCTGTCTAATGAGACATTTGACTCTCACAGATCGTTAATAGGAGCCTTCTGGCAAAAACCGCAGTGTGGTTGCAAGTTGGAGCACATGTGGGATAGACATCCTATCTAAGTGGTATTCAGTGATATCCAGCACTATTACAAAGGCTTAATTGTTAAGACGATATAGTTCTATAAATCAGCATACAAACATATTTTGTGTCAGCAAATTGCATTTATATCGACTCTGGCCGCTCCAGCGGATTACTCTTAACCCATACAATTTTGCGGTTTATTTTCTGGGTTATTTCTCGATATCCTTCTATCATGAAAAATACTATCACTGCCGAAGTCATTTAATTTTTATAAGCTCAAATGTGTTAATAACAGTACAAATATTAAATTTAATTGCTGTTTTTTTTGCACAAGTGTGATGACAGCTAATTCCAATATCGGTTTTGCTTATCTACGAAAAAGGTAAAATTAAGTCGGTTTCATAACACCCCCGATTACGTCCTTACTCGATATGGCGAAATTGGCGGAATGTAATCATCGAAGAAATGTGGGCGGTTATTGGTGTGATAATAAATATAGGGACAATGCCGTTGGCAAATTTGCAAGAATATTGGTCACGGAGTGATGTCAGCAATATTCCTTTTTATTCGAACTAGATTACAAGAGACAGATTCAATCAGATTTTTTGGATGCTTCATCTAAAGACAATCCAAAGACAATTATGCAAGACCACGAGCACGCTTACAGCTAGTTAGCTGTTTCCTGGATTACAAAAATTCAAAGAGAGAAAGAAGAGAAATTTGTGTGGATGAATCTACGATCAAGATCTAAGGTCGGGTCTCCTTCAATACTTACAACCCGACGAAACCGACCAAATGGGACTTCGAGTTGATGCAATGGCAGACTCAACTACCGGTTACATCTGTGGAATTCTTTCTTATTATAGAAGTTTGACAACAGACAGCTTGATAAGGTGCTACCTTTCAAACAGGACAGAACAAATAAAAATAATATAATTCGGAAAAAAATCAACATTAGCATACCGAAGAAGAAACACCTTATGTTTAGCGTGGAAGGACAAGAGGGTTGTCACATGAATGACGCCTGTAAATCGAATTTTCCGAGGTGGAGTAAAAGTGACCGCCAAGAAACATAACGTAATAATAGATTACATCAAACATATGGGCGGGTTTGGAGATTTGGTTAATCAATTCATATATTTTATATAAAACCACAAAATAACAGAGAAGCCAACCGCCGCTTAATCACCTACGATATTTGAAGACATTAGTCAAGCAATTGACTGGAGTTTTCCACCAGCTGCACGACCGATCCTCGACTTCAGCCGCCGAATTTGAAAGCATCCGCCTAAATGGAAAGCTCCATAGCATTCTAACAGGAGTTAGAAAATATGGCAAAGTCTGCCCCGAAGAAATAAGTCCGGCAAAAGACATCAAACAACGTATTATTGTGACACTTGTCCCAACAAGCCGGGCATGCATCTCGGCAGTTGTTATCTCAAATACCATACAAAGCAAAATTACAAAGTGTAACGTTTCAGAAATTATTATCTTAAAAATGTAAAGATACATTTAATATTAAAATATAATAGTTTTATGTGTTACTTTATGTGTGTAATCATTTTAAGGTAGAGGTTTGAAATTCGCCAAATACGCTACGAAACGCTTCGAGTTGCTGGTGCGCTGCGCGAAAAAGGTCCCGAGTGCAAAGGGTTAAATATTCACTTTATATAAAGCAGTAATATATTCACTTTACTTCGACAGAAATAATTTCGCTTTTATCGAAAATTGGTATACTATATATCACATCCTTAAAGTAGTGGGATTAGTTTCATAGTACTCCCTTATTCCTTATTCCCTTGTCCTCCGAAGTATTTTAAGGTTTCAAATAAGTAGCAAGTTTCACTGCATTATATCA